ACAAGGAGCCTCGGAGGCCACCAAGTCGAGAACTTGTCCCCTCTTTCAGCACCGACACTCCCTTCTCATGACAATTATTGTGTGACAGCGCTTTCCTGAAATAAAATTGAAACTATAACTCACCTATGTACATACTTTCAGAATAAATTCATAATAAAATGTCCTAACTATAATATATAAGAATAAATAAAATAAAATAAAATGTGTAATGATATGTATCTCAATAGATAAAGGTTTGGACACAGTTATACCAGAATGATGCAAACAAGGAGTTAGGTATTTGTGCTACTTACAGTGGACAAGTTTGGGTAAGAAGTTAATATTGGGGCTTCCCTGGCGGCGCAGTGGTTGAGAGTCCGCCTGCCAATGCAGGGGATGCGGGTTCGTGCCCCGGTACGGGAAGATCCCACATGCCGCAGAGCGGCTGGGCCCGTGAGCCATGGCCGCTGAGCCTGCGCGTCCGGAGCCTGTGCTCCGCAGCGGGAGGGGCCACAACAGTGAGAGGTCCGCGTACCGCAAAAAAAAAAAAAAAAAAAAAAGTTAATATTGAACTGAATGTGTGCTTGACATTTTCATATGCCCATGAAGGATCTTCTTTAACATAATACAGCCAGACATGCGGATTGGCCCAGAGGTGATTTATTGGTGATGCAAACACTGCGGGCAACATCGCCGCAGGTGCCATGATTCTTTCCAAAATGGGGAGGAATGCTTGGTCAAGTTCCCACCCGAGGGTAGGGAGCTGGGGTATTTATACACTAATTCCTGTTAGCTATTGGATGAGGGCTGCTCCTAGTAGGCATTAACTCCCCAGAATGCCAGCTGCCCCCCGGCACACAAGCATGCACATGCCGGCAGCTGGAAGTGGCCCCCACACACCACCATTTCAGGTTCTAAGGCATATGGGAAAATACATAGCATCTGCTACCATCCAGGAGCAGATAAAAGACATCCAGGGTGAAGGCTGGGGAGAGGGGGCCGCTGGCAGCAGTAAGTGGCAGGAGGACCCCAGGAGAAGCAGGTGGGGGGGATGCATTTGCTGAGGCTCCCTAATGGTGGACCCCTAGGAGGATGCCCACAGAGTCCGCCGCCCAGCTCCCAGGGGTCCTTGGGCTGCAGTCCTGTCTCCATGAGCCCTGCTCACCCCCCAGGTCCCATTCTCCCCGTGAAGCCTTGTCACAGCTTGGACTCCCCAAGCCCGGCCACGGAGCCTGGGTTCCTTATTTTCTTGCTTGAGCTGGCAGCCTTAGGATGACCCCCCATTACTGAGTAACTGGCAAGTCTCTCTGCTTCATACAACCACGGAGCCCATATCTAGGGTCATCATTTCTCTTTTTTCTTTTTTTTTTTTGCGGTATGCATGCCTCTCACCGTTGTGGCCTCTCCCGCTGCGGAGCACAGGCTCCGGACGCGCAGGCTCAGCGGCCATGGCTCACGGGCCCAGCAGCTCCGCGGCATGTGGGATCTTCCCAGACCGGGGCACGAACCCGTGTCCCCTGCATCGGCAGGTGGACTCTCAACCACTGCGCCACCAGGGAAGCCCTAGGGTCATCATTTCTAATGAGGATGAGGATGAGGATGAATATTTCTAGAGCCCACACTTTATCTGTTGTTCTCATCCCTTTCTGCCAATTAATCTTATGCTAATACTCAAAACAACCTAGATAGTGTTATTAACTTCATGTTACAGATGAGGTGACGGAGGCACAGAGAGGTTAAGTGACTTGCCCAAAGGCACACAGTAAGTGGTGGAGCCTGGAAAGAAACCTGGGTGATGTGGATCAAAAGCCCATCTCAGAGGGAGACGCAAGAGGGAAGAGATATGGGGATATATGTATGTGTATAGCTGATTCACTTTGTTATAAAGCAGAAACTAACACACCATTGTAAAGCAATTATACTCCAATAAAGATGTTAAAAAAAAAAAGCCCATCTCAGGTGTACTGCCTCTAACCATTAGTCTACAAAGCCTCTCAATTAAGTAAAGTGACTTCCTGGCCCTGAACCTTGACCTTTTGTCACTGAGGGATGCCTTTGCTTCACTGTCCCTCTCAGGCTCTGCCCCTGTGTTAGGTGGAAATTTAAGTCTAGGTTGGAGTTAAGAGCAGCCTTTTGGGGTTATGCAGGCCTGGGGTCAAATCCCAGGTCTGCTGCTCCCTGGCTGTGTGACCTTCAGAGTTGGCTGCCCCTCTCTGTGCTTCTGAGGTCTTTAGTGGGGTTGAACGGGATAATGCATGGGAATACTTGCAGAGAGCAAGCTCTCCTTGACACAGATGGTTATTATGGGTTTCAGGCTTTGGACAGGGTCTGTCCCGAATATGGGGTCCAGCTGAACTCTACCTCTAGAGTTAACCCAGCTGCAGTGCCTGGGACCAAGTCTGGCCCGAGAGAGGGAGGGGAGGGGGCACTGTCCCCAGTACTGCGTTGGCCTCCTTGCCTCCACTGATCCATAACCCTGGAGCCTGCCAGGGGCCTTCCTGGTGTAAATTGAGACCAGGCATGGACACCTCTTGCCCAAAACCTAGAACACAGCAGGTGCTCAATAAACAGCCGCCGCCTTCACGGACAGCAGCTGCAGCAGCGGGGAAGGTTCAGCTACAGCATCGACAGCTGGTGGGCAGGGCGACCTGAGCTTTGGAGATGGACACGAACTTGAGTTCTGGTCCCACCACTTAAATGTGGTGGCACTTGGGACAATTTACTTCAACACCCTGGGCCTCAGTATCCCTCTCTGCAAATGGAGGTCATGATCACCCATCACAGATGAGAGCTGATTCTATAAAGCAGTAGTGGACTCGGTGACAGTAGGGGCTGGAGAGCAGTGACTACTATTATTCTTGTTAAAATTGTTGCTGTGGCAACCGTTGTTTCCTTTTCTGTGATGTTTCTCCGCCCCTGATGGATACATCAGAGCGTGTAGGGCTCAGAAACAGATGTTCTAGCATCAAAATACAGGGTTCAAACCTCGGCTCTACCACTTCCTGTCTGTGTGGCCCTGGGAAGGTGATACGGCCTCTCTGAGCCTCGGTTTCCTCATCTGTTGAATAGGATGAATAACTGTGCCTTCCAAGGTCTTCGTTAGGATTCGACGAGATGATGATGCATAAAAAGCCCTAGCACTGGGTCTGGTGTTCAGTGAGCACTGATGGATAAAGCATAACAAGGCGTCTCTCTGTGACAGGGAGGAAGGAGTGGGTGCTGGTGGGAGGAAGGGGTGAGGAGGGGTGGGTGCTGCCGTCCCCACATCCAGGGAGTCAACCCCTGCCTTCCACCTGCCTCCTTGCTGGGTGCCCTCACCCACCCCAGCTCTGCCCTACACACCAATGTAGGAATAATTCGAGGTGATTTCTCAGCTGTGCATATTTTTTTAAGCACACAGGCTGAAGTAACTGAAAATTGCCCCATTTTATTTAATGTCTTCCTGGGGCCCTCCCAGGCCTCCCCCATACCAGCGGCCTTTAGCCGTGGGGAGGCTGCGGGAGGCCGGAACGGGCTGCAGGGGCAACAGGGGAGCAAGGTCGGAATTGGCTCCTGGAGATGGGAGGGGTGATCCCCGGAGGCCAGCTGTGTTCTGACTGTCAGACGGGACAGTCCCTCCTATTCCCATGGCGGGGAGGGGGGCGGGGAGCGGGCGGCAGAGGAGACTCATGTGCGCAGCCACGGTGTCCCCCCTTGGGCTGGAGGAAGCCACTGAGGCTCAGGGCCGGCGGGTGGGATGGGGGCTTAGCCCTTGAGCCGAGGCTGCAGATCTCTGGGCAGGGCGACAGTCACCAATGCGTGGAAGAGAGCGGGTCAGGGGCACCATAGCATCACGGCTCGCCCGGATCTCTGCAGGAGCTCCCCAACCGGTCTCCCTGCTTCCCCCTTGGTCCCACCGTCTCTGCTCTGCGCCACAGCCAGAGCGCTCCTATTAAACCCAAAGACAGACCATGTCTCGCCTCGTTCAAACTCTCTGTGGCTCCCGCCCCCGGGAGAAGAGTCAGACTTTCCCAGAGTCTGTGGAGTCCTAAATGCCGACCGCACGCCCTCTCTGACCCCCCTCCCCATCTCTTACTTAACCCTCCTTGCTGTGTCTCCATCACTCAGCCGCACTCCAGCCTATGACCTTCAAGCCTGTTCTTCCTCCGCCTGGAATGTTCTCATGGGTCATTCAGGTCTGAGGTCAAATGTCACCTCCTCAGAGTTCTCTGACCGTGACCCCATCACTCTGCATCCTTGTATCCCGCTTCCTTGTCCTTAGCCCTTCCCACCTCCTGACATTATATTCAAATTTACCTGTTCATTTACGTTCTGTCCCTCCTAGAAGGTGAGCTCTGTGTGGGCGGGACTCTGCTTTGTTCACTGCTGTGACCTCAGGCCTTGAACAGGGCCTGGCACTTGTGGAATAAGTTAGTGAAAATAGAGACTGACGGAGAGATGGAGGGGGAATGATGGACAGGTGGATGGGAGAAAGGAAGGATGGATGGATTAATGGGCGAAAGGACTGATGCAAGGATGGATGGATGGGAGGGCTGGATGGGTAGATGGATGGACGGATGAGTGGATGGATGGATGGATGGAGGGAGGGAGGGATGGAGGGATGGACAGAGGGAGGGAGGGATGTAAGATGGATGGATGGAGGGATGGATGGATGGGTTGATGGGAGGATAGAAGGAAGAATTGAAAGAATGGGTAGAAAGATGGGTGGGTAGAAGGAGGGATGGATAAATCAATGGACAGAAGAAAACACAGAAATATGGAAGGAAGACGAGAAGGATGGATGGATGGATGGATGGACGGACTGACAGATGGAGACACAGGCAGACAGACACAAAATCGGGGCAGGATGCGCATGTGGTTCTGCCTCAAATGGAAGCACAGCTCACAGCCCTCCCTTGGGGCTCTCAGAACCCTCAAGCCCCAGCCTCCTTCATCCTGCCCCTCCCCTGGGCTCTACCTGGGGCCCAGCCCCCTCAAAAAGTGACACGGAGGAACATGGCAGGTGGGGGACCGGCCCCAGGCTTTATTGAGCAGATTCCGGGGAAGGGTGGCCAGGCAGGCCCTCACCCCGGCCCTGGAGCCGCCTCTTCTTGCCCTTGCTGCCCCCCAGGGTGGGCCTGGGCCACTGGGGCCTGGGCGCCCTTCAGCTGCTGAGGAAGCAGCCCCGCTTGTGCCACTTCTGGTCGCGGATGCGGCGCACAGACTGCAGCTGGGGCTGGTTGGCGTCCCACTCGTTCCAGTGGCGGTACTCACCCCGCTCAAACACGTACTGGCGGCCGCGGTAGCCGGGGAACTCGTAGCCAACCCACCTGCAGGGAGACCAAGGTCGGGGTGAGGGTGGTAAGTGTCCAATCTCTTGCCTCCGGCCAGACCGAGTCTTTTAAAGCCAGCGTTTGATCATGCCCTCCACCTGCCTAAATCCCTCCCTGGCTCCCCAGTGCCCTCGGGATGAACTCAAACTCCTAATCCTGCCCACAAGATTCTTCACGTAGCATCTCTAGCCTCATCTCTCATTCCTTCTTTATACCCCACACTCCAGCCTGTCTTATTCTATTCTCCCTGAACCTGCATGTCTCTGAGCCTTTACACATGCTGTTCCTTCTGCCTGGAATGCTTGTCCTTGCCCCAACCTTATTTCATCTCCTCTTTCATTAGTATCCTTTACATATCAATTCAGATATCTCCTCCTCCAGAAAGCCCTTCCTGACACCCCCAGGCTGAATCAAGTGCCTCATCAGGACCCTCAGAGGCCCTGTACATCCCCCATCACAATTCTGATCACAACGAATTGCGAATACTATTTCCTTGTCTGTCTCCCTATAAGACTGTGAAATTCTTGAGGGAGGAATTGTATAGTTCTTGTTGCCCCCATACCCTGACCATAGGTGATAACTTAGTAAAAAGTTGTTGAATACATTATTATCAGGTAGAGGTGGCACCTTTCAAGGCCCAACCCCAGATCACAAGCCTGCAAGTGAGATACAGTCACCTGGACAAAGGGATGGTGATCCTAAGATTGTATTAACAGAGATATCAAGCCTAGAAGGAGGGAGGTGATGAGCCTGCTCTCCTATGTACTACTCAAGCCACGCCTACCTACAGGCTGGGTTCCCTGGTAAGAAGGACAAAGATTGCGAAAAGGAAAAAAATATCTGAGTTCAAGGGCCTAGGGATGTTCAGAAAAGGAGTGAAGATTTTGATGGAGACAGGTAAGGGGGACAGACTTCACTTGGTTAAAAAAAAAGATAAAACTGTCTATAAGTCAAGGCTTCCTGGATAACCAATGGTACAGGAATGCAAGCAATTGGACATTCGCCTCATGGGGGATCTTGAATGGGGCTTTGAGCACCGTTGGTATAGACGCACTGACTTGAGTGAAGGGCCTCCGGGCCTGAAGGAGCAGGAAACGTCAGCTGTGTAGGAAATTGTGAACAAAGATTCTGTGTGGAGCCAGAGGCATGCCAACTGGAGGACAGGGCAGGGGTAAGAGTGGGATCAGGTCCCTTACGTCCCGTTGATGGCCCGGACGCTCGCCACACGGTCCTGGAAGCCGTGAGCCCAGAGGCTGGGCACGTCATCGTCCACTATCTCCATCTTGCGGCCGCCGAAAGCCGGGTTCTCAAAGAGATGCAGCTTGTGATCCGGACCATCCTGGGGGCAAAGACCACGGGGTGAACCGGCTGCTCCCATGCCCAGAACAGGGGGCAGGGAGGCTCCAGGAGAGAATTAAGTCAAATAACGTCCACCCCCAGAGCTGGTCTCCTTAGGCATTTTAGAGCCAGAGAGCCGTGAAACCAAGAGGGGCCTTTCAGGTCTGGTTAAAAACTCCGTCATTTAGCAGGTAGGGACAGCGAGGCACAGAGAGGGTGGCAGGAGGACAGAATTATTCACGTAGAATGCCAGCCAAGCCCTCGGCTGAGCTTGTGGAAGGAGCTTGCCTCACGAGCTCCAGGCACGTCCTGCTTCTAGGCGTTATACTCACAATTTGCAGAGGCCGGAGGGACAGGAGGCTGTCACCGCGGTGGCTGTTGGACCACGCGTCCCAGCGAGGATAATCCCCCTTCTCCAGGACATACTGCTCCCCGCGGAAGGCCCTGCGCTCAAATGCCAGCCACCTGCAGGAGGAAAGAGGCCTGGGTCGCCTCTGCTGCCCTGCGGGAGGACCCAAGACTAGTGAGGGGGGTGCCCAAGAGCTGCTGACTTTTGACCCTGCACCTTCCCTCCAGCGCTACTACTGAGCCCCGGTCCTGGTATTGAGGGAGCTGCTGGAACATACTGGGAGTTGAGACTCTGAGTCAGAAAACCATCCTGGGGAAGAGTCTTGAGAATCTATTTTATGTGCAGCCTCTGTGTAGGCTGCTCAGAAACATTTTATTTTATTCTTTATTTTATTTTTATTTATTTAATTTAATTTTTTGGCTGCATTGGGTCTTCATTGCTGCACGCGGGCTTTTCTCTAGTTGCAGCGAGTGGGGGCTACTCTTCACTGCAGTATGTGGGCTTCTCATTGCGGTGGCTTCTCTTGTTGCAGAGCACGGGTTCTAGGAGCGCGGGCTCCATAGTTGTGGCTCGTGGGCTCTAGAGAGCAGGCTTGGTAGTTGTGGTGCACGGGCTTAGTTGCTCCGCGGCATGTGGGATCTTCCCAGACCAGGGCTCGAGCCCGTGTCCCCTGCATTGGCAGGAGGATTCTTAACCACTGCGCCAACAGGGAAGTCTCTCAGAAACATTTTAAATGCAATGCCTGGCACACAGTAAGTATTCCATAGACATCTCCTCCTTTTCCTCCTTCTCCTGCCCCTCCCCCTCCTCCTCTTATTTTTCTTCTTCTTACTATTATATTGTTAGGGCTATTATGACTATTATATTGTAATTTATTTTTTTTTTTCGGTACGTGGGCCTCTCACTGCTGTGGCCTCTACCGTTGCGGAGCACAGGCTCCAGACGCACAGGCTCAGCGGCCATGGCTCACGGGCCCAGCCGCTCCGTGGCATGTGGGATCCTCCCGGACCGGGGCACGAACCCGCGTCCCCTGCATCGGCAGGCGGACCCTCAACCACTGCGCCACCAGGGAAGCCCTATATTGTAATTATTTATGTGCATCCTTCCATTCACTTTCACAAAAACTCTCTCTGAAGTATGTACCCTTATTATCCTATTTGACAGATGAGAAAATAGAGGCCAAGAGGGTGAAGCACCTTGCCCAGGATCACCCAGGTGGGTAGTACCAGAGCCTGGACTTTCCACCTGAAAAATTCAGGGTCCAGCTGGGACTCCTGCTTGCCATGTGGACATGCACAGGACACGTGACCACTTTGGCCTCAGTTTCTTCATCTGTCAAGAGGGATTCAGTGATATAAAAAGCACATTAGAATTTAGATATTATCATCATTATTAAAACTATTAAATCCCACTAGTAGGCACTGAGCTAGGTGCTGGGTGTCTTCCTCTGTTCTCTCTCCGCAGTGCCCTGCTACTGACCTCAGAGATGGAGAGTTAGAAGGACTCCAAGAAAATCACAGTTCAATGCTCTTATCTTACAGGTGGGAAAACTGAGGCCAGAGATGGGAAGGGAGTTGCCTAAGGCCCCACAGCACATCTAGAGCTTGATCCTGGACCTCCCGACTTCCAGAGGGCTCAGGGCTGTGAGGAGGGGCTGGGGGGGCAGGTACTCACGGCCCCGACTCCACTTGGATGGAGCCCACCTTCTCCAGCAGGCTTTCTGTCAGGTTGGGGCACTCGGCCGAGAGCTCGCACCGCTTGCCCTGGAAGTTCTCCATTTCGTACACGATCACCTGGAAGGGCAGCCTCCTGAGCATCCCACCGGGGCAGGGTTCCCAGCCCCAGCCTGTGTCCTGCCAGGCCCTCTTTAGGGCCTTGGAGGGAGGTACTGCCATCCGCTCCCTCAGCTCTGCCTGGTACAGGCCTGAAGCCGGCACCGCCACAGGTCTGCCCTGCCCCCTGGTGGCCATGGAGGGGAACACCTCCAGGAACCCCCATTAATCCAGGGATTGCAATTCGGGTATCTGGCCGGAGGCAGTGCAAAATCCAGTAAAGCAAAATGACCAGAGTAACCAGAGGGTTACTGTAGGGCAATGAAGCCGCTGTGGACAGGAGGGACTGGGGGCCCCCTTCTAAGCTTTTCAAGTCTGTAACTTCCTTAATGTGAAATTTCTCCATTTAAAAAGCCTCCTGCAGAACAAATAAAACTCCAGTTTGCAACAGTTGAACTTCACCTGTCCCTAGACCCCAGAGGAAGGGGTTGCAAAGGCAGAGGAAGGTTTTGCCTCTTTCACCCGCCTAGAAGCACAAACTATCTTCGTAGCAGGTCCCTGGGGAACATTGGCTCTGGTCATTTTATACAAGGGTCAAGGGAGGCTCAGAAAACGTCCTGGGCTGCACAGCAAGTTAAGTGGAGGCATGGACTCAACAAGCCAGCGGGCTCTTTTCTCCCGAGCACTGGAGTGGTCAGGGGAAAGCCAAATGCCAAAAGGAGCCAGGAAGGGCCGGCAGCGATACCCTCTTCTCTGGTGGGCGGCTGCCTCTGGGCAGCTCTCCCCAGGGGGAAGCTGGGGGTCCACAGGGCAAGGCTGATTCACCCACGAATCAGGCCCAGAGCCAGGCAGGCCTCTTTGCTGCTCTTCCCCTCCCGGTGTGCACCCTTCTGGTTAAAGCCCCCAGTTATCTCCTTAGTCAATGCATTCCCGGACCCCATCTCAAATCAAAGCCCCCGGGATAGCTTAGAAAGGACAGAGCCGGGACTTCCCTGGCGGTCCAGTGGTTAAGACTCCGCGCTTCCAATGCAGGGGGCGCGGGTTCGATCCCTGGTCAAGGAGCTAAGATCCCACATGCCACGCAGCACGGCCAAAAACTAAAAAAAAAAAAAAAAAAAAAAAAGACAGAGCCAACAAATCCCAGCTCTCAGATTCCTCCGCTAGCTGGCCATGGTACTGGCACACGCACTGAGCTCTCACACTGAGAAGTGTGGGTACCATCCCCACTTTAAAGATGGGGCCGTTGGGGCCCAGAGATGGCCGGGGACTGGACCAAGGTCGGGCAGGAGAGTCGGGCAGGAGAGTCAGTGCCGCGTCTCCTGAAACCCGCATTGAGACTGGCAGGGTGCGCGTGACCAGTTCCATTTTGCAGACAAGGACACAGAAGAGGAACGATGGGGCAGAGCCATGAAGTGAATTTATCGCAGGGCGGGGACATGTCCTCGTGGTCCAAGCTGGCCAGAAGGGCTGCGGCTCCTTTCTGGAGAGAGGCTGCCTGGCCAGGAGGCTGACCCCGAGGACCAAGAGCGGCCCTGGGCCCAGAGCCCCCGGGACCCCCTCCCTGCCCGGTACCTTGTAGGCGCCCCCGAGGCCTCCGTGGCTCTTGCCGGCGGCAGCCTGTTCCGGCGCGCTGTGCTGCTCCGCCATTGCCCCAGGAACACCTGTGGCTTCAGTCAAAGGCAAAAGAGTCACCAGGTGCACCCGGGCAAAACCAGGTGTTGACGTGATTGGAGTCGAGGCTGAGCTATAGAACTTGGCTGCCTCTGAGATGTGGTCATTGCTCACAGCCTACATGTGGTCACTCAGTCATTCAGCAAACATCCCCTTAGTATCTACTATGGACCACAGGGACCGGGACAGTCAGGGGGGTCAGGATCCCCATTTTACAGAGGGTAATCCCGAGGCCCAGTGAGGTGGGGCTGGGACTGGGCTCCAAAGCGCGTGCCCTTCCCCCACACCCGGAGCTCTGTGCGGACACAGCACCTCCAGACCCTGCTCAGAGGGTGGGCGTTGCCTGGGTTTCCTCTACAGGAATCTCTCCCGCCTCTGCACCCCAAGCAGTATAGTTTTTTGTTCACTGACTCCTTCACTTGCCAAAGATTCCGTGAGAACCCAGTTGGTGCCTGGCCCTGTGCTAGATGATGGAGAGGAAGAGACCACAGACTGGTGGGAGATGGACAGACAGACAGACATCTAGAGAAAGCATGATGCCGGACCAGGTCCTGGGACACCGGCTCCAGTCCAGTTTCTCTGCATTCACTTATTCGTTTCATATGCATTTATGGAGCACTTTGTTCCAGCCACTTAAAGAGACACAGACACAAACAGACAGACAGACAGCTCCCCTGCATCCCTAGGGACTGTGCCACACACCCCTGGGCCTGCATTAGTCACGTGGAAGGAGTCTCTTGATGCCACACACACAGACACATAGGACTGTTTTCCTGCTCATCAGCACACGCACAGGTGCACACACACACACACACACACACACACACACACAAGCTCCCGTGGTCATTGTACACGGTCACTTCCCACCTGTTGCACAAACACAGCCCCTCTCTCTTTCTTGCACACACACATGCCCATTTCAGACATCCACAGTGGCCTCAGCTACACCCCACATTCCTCGAAGTAGATGGGCTGCGTGGCCCATATACTCAGGACACAGGCCCAGGGATGCGTAGCCTGCGGGCTGTCTGTCTGCCTGTGTCCAGCCTCAGCAGGAAACAGGGCCTGGTCCAGGTCATGGAGGTCCAGCTCACAGAGGATTCTCAGCAGATGTGGCAGGCCCCCAGTTTGCCCATTCCGCTTCCTCAGCGGTGCTCAGTCTTTGTAGGTCCCCTGCCCTAAGCTCACAGCCAAGGGCTCGACCCTGCGCACCCCCTCAGACACCAGCTGGCTTGGTCGCTGTCCTGGTTCCTCCCTCTCGGCTCCAGCCCTCACGTGGATCCCCGGTTGGTGCAGGGGGCCAGCTGTGCACGCCCCCCGGAGACCACCAAGGTCCGGGCCTGCCTCTCTCTCCCCGCATACCCAGAATGAACCTGTTGCAGTCGCCTTGAGAACAGAGGGGCCGATGCTGTCTGCAGACTCAGTCTGCTTCTGCAGGGACCGTCCTATTTATGGGCGTTTTCTGACAGCCCAGCACATCCTGGCTTGCTGAGGCAGCGCCCTGTCCACCTGATTCTGTGCGGGCCACTTCACCCCAATAGCAGGCCCAGGGAGGCCCCCATGCCTCTGTATCCTCAGCCGTGGCCTCTGATGACTTCCTGGGGGCAGACGGCCTGCATCAGCTTTGTGGGAAGCCCGGCAGCACCAGGCAGGGGGCATCGGGGTGTAAAGATCTCAGTGTCTTCAACTTCCTTCCTTTGGCTTCTCAGCTCCACCATCTTCCTATTGAGGTGCATGACGTCCTTGGAATGGCTCCAGGTCTTAAAGTGAGGGGTCCCAGAATCTCTCAGTTTTCCCATGTGCCACGTGGCCTAAATTTTAAGTCAGATCTCCCTGAACATACCCTCCAAGTTGCGTGTAAATCCACCCAAACATTTCCACGAGATGTGGTAACAGACCCAACAAAGATTCATTTTCGTTATACAGAAGATTCGTTATACAAAGATTCATTTTCGTTGCGCATTTCATTATACATTGACAAATAACAGTGACCATTTATTGAAGACCTACTATGTGCACGGCACTGGGCCAGCTTCACGAGCAGTATGTTCAATCCTCACGCAGCCCTCTTTAGGGGAGGAATTATGATCTCCACTTTATAGAGGGGGAGACAGATCAGAGATGTGGAGTCACTCACCCAGGGTCACACAGCAGAGGAGAAGGGGTTGGCCTCATCCAGGGCCCAGCTCTTAGCCTAAATAGAAATAAAGATGATCATGATAGTCCCTTTATTTATGACCAAAAAAAAGATCCATGCATTTTGTGTGTGTGCTTAACAAAGTATAATTTTGCCTGTGATAGCTACCAGAATTTCCCGGCTTTTCGAAAGTTTTCCTTAAGCTACTTTGCTTTAATGAAAGACCTACATTAGCACCTGTTTTTTTTAACGGAAAGAAATCCAGAGAATTTCTGCTTTTACAAAAATAGGGTGAAAAGCAAAAATCACGTTCAGTGTTCATTTTATAACGAGCCATGACAGTGGTGAGGTGAGCCCCAAGCAGCGAGTGGCGCCACCAAGTGCCTCCCGTGGGAACCACACTCAGTATCTCAGCATCAAGCGGCCGGAGCTTTGAACTGTGTCTGACAGCATCTGTGCTTTATCTCCATTTCTTCTGTGCATCTGTGAGCAAGATGTGTCCTCAGGTAATTGCTTCTTCAATTTATGCCATTGCAGCTTAGGAAAGGTTTCAGAGGAACGCTCTGCTTTCGGATAGTGGAGGGGAACCTGTATTTAATGATTGCTGAATGAATAAAATAATGAGGGCAAAGGGGTAAATTGTTAACCAAGACGGTTTTCTTTTGCTGTTTGTTTTTGGCTAACATTCTCAAGTCGGCACAAAACCCAACCTCCTTGCATCCCTGGAGGTGTGGGTGACAGCTGGGCTCTGGAAACAGGTGGATTTGTGTGACCTTGGGTGAGCAAATGAAGGTCAGAATCACAGCCTCTTCATCTGTAAATGGAGAAGCTTCTCTCTCCTCGAGCCACTGAGAGATCACAAAAGCAAGACACTCAGCACAGCGCTACCTTCTAGCTTTTAATCACTGAGGATCCTGCCTACTGTTGACAGTTCAAACCAAGAGGCTGCTTCCTTCTGGTGCCCATGGAAAGCAGAGCTGGTCTCAACCCCTTAACCTGGGATGCAGCCGCCAGCTGCTGGGGATATAAGGGGGAAGACAGAGGTGCGACAGCCTATCAGGCCTGACTCCCCAACGCCCATCAGTTCCTTTAGGATCCTGAAGACCTACTATATGCCCAGATTTCCTGGGCCGCATTTCTTTAACCTAGAGTTCTCAGTCCTGGCCCTATTGCCATCTGGGGCCGGATCATTCTGTGCGCTGGGGTGTGACGGCTGTCCTGCACAGTGTACAATGCTAAGCGGCATCCCTGGCCTCCACCCACTAGATGCCAGTAGCATCTCCCTTCCCTCCTTGTGATCACTAAAACAACATCTCCTGTCATTGCCAGATGTCGCGCGGGGGACACAATCCACCCAGCTGAGAGCCACCGCCTTTAACTTTTGCCCACTATTATCGCTGTCACCACCCCCATTCTGGAGAACCATGGGGGTTCAGAGATACCCCACAGCCAGGAGGAGGCAGAATGAGGACCCAAGCCCACGTCGAATGGAGATCCTGCTTTTCTCCATCGGCCCCCTTTCCCAGGACCCCTGCTGCGCCCTCCCTCCGTCTGGCCCCCAGCTCGCCGCAGCGGAGAGGCTGACTCAGCTGGGGACAGGCATGCATGCATGGGGGAGTCCATTCATTCACACACCGACACGCTGACGTCTCCAGTGCAGCTCGCGTCAAAGCTTTATTTGCTGCTTTCAGAGTCTGAATGCAACGTCTTTGTACATGCAAAGGTCATTTTGTTTTAGGGCAGTCGACCAGATTCCCAACTGCTCTGCTGTGCGTATGAAACCTCTTTACAGTTACAAAATAGAAAAGCACTGGTAGACATCCAATACTCTGTGAGGTCCGGGAAGTCCCGTTTGTTTTGATGTTAAAAATATAGGTTTCTCTAGATGAATTCTCAGTCACACGATTAGAGATCATTTCTGGGACTGGATAAAGTGCCGGTCGACCACCTTCTGTTCAGAACTCCTGGAGCCTGTGAATTCATAAGGCAACTGCAAGGACACCAACTGGCAGGACGCTTCAACTTTCTCGCACACAGGACTCGAGTTCCTTTTCGATCGTGACTCAAATATCGGAGGAAGGGACCCAGAAGAAAGGTTAGGAAAATACATAGCGTACGTATATATATTTCCACTCACCCCTCCACCTTGCAAAGCATTTTGAGGCTCATAACCATCTGGGAAGTGCAGGACTTGTAGGACGTTGGTATGATTTAGGGAACAACACAGTACAAAATATCTTCAGTAACACAACAGATGACTTTCGTGAGCCCCGTATTTACAGGATCTATAAGGCTATGTGGAATGAGCTCATTCTTTAGACAACGGCGTCACGTTGTTTTTTTTAGCAGATGTGACGCCGCCGGAGACTGTTACAACAGTGCCAGGCTGATTCATGGGAGATGGTGTGGCGCCAGGTGTGAGGGCGGCCGTTTAGGGAGATGCTGGGAGGTGAGCAGTGAGCGGCTGGGAAGTTACCTTGCTGGAAATCTCAGGCTGACTTTCCAGGTACCTGGTTTTCTGGCCCCCTCCCTGCAGGAACCAACCTAGACAAAAGAAAGAAATCTCTAGAGGGGTGATGGGGGCCAAGGGAGATACAGACCAAGACTCAGCACATTCATGCCGACCGGTTTTCTATGCGGTTCCATGTTTCCAGACCCTCGACTTGCCCAGAATTCCAACAGGGTAACTCCTGGCAGCTTCTCAGCACAGGGCTCAGATCCATCACTCCCTAAGCGGGTGAGGCCCAAGGTGGGCCCCCTTCCGGATGTGGGGCAGGTCCCCTCTCCCTTAAGTGGCTCCCTCCTACTCCATGGAATCACGATGCCATGGGGCTTTTTTTTTTTGCTTTCCTGTTTTATCACATGTTGGAGGAGGAAAGGCACAGTCGGAGGCTATAGAAGGATTCTCCATTACTGTATGACTCGCCACGGCATAAATTGGAGGCGGCGCAATTCCCGGTGGATAGAGTTTTTCTCCCACCTCCCTGCAGACCTCACCCTGAAATGCTAGTTTACACAAAGACAACCGTCATCTAGCTTCCTGTATTAAGGGACAGTGCTGTGTGGGAGGAACCACAGGGATGGAGGAGGAGAGAGGGAGTGGCTGCCTTGAGAGTCGTCTCCTTGGGCGCGACGCTGTCTTCCACGCAGGCCCACGTCACCTTTCAGCAAGCATTTTGTTTTGGAGGTGATCCAATGACACATCTGTGGGTTTTTAGCTTTGTAACGACGCCTAGCTCCTGGGGCAGTCTGGGGGTACCGTGATGAAAAATGTGAATGGACAAGGCAGC